CTCGTTTCCGGGTGGCTGTTGTGGAGTCGGGGGGGGGGGGTGGGAGGGGGTGGGCAGTGCTGGAGTGCAGGCACCCAGACACTATGCATTAAAGAGTTTTAATTTGATTTATATATTTCATATCTGTTAATTCATTTGGAAACAGACTTCTTGTGATAAATAGACTACTGAAGACTAGCCACTTCCATCCTGAGAAGGCTGAAATTGGCTGAGATGAGAATGCTCTGGATGTAATTAGAAATAAATAGCAGCGATAGACTTTCTTTGTTCTACACAGAACAAAGTATGTGATTCCTTCTCATGAGGAAATTCCGTAAGGGGCCTTTCCTCCTCCAATTGCAATGGTCTCCAGTTGTAACTTACTACTCCAAAAAATCTCACATACCACATTTGCCAGTACCAAAGAAATGTGCTGTAGTAATTCTGAGGCTGCCGAGGCCTCACGAGAGCTTCTCTCATGTACCACCCAGCAGCGTGTTTGTATTTGGCTGTCAACTTTCCCCTGTATGGAAGGACACACCTCAATTTTGCATGGAAGGTAGTTTTCACATGCATTGAAAGAAATAAAAATGTCCCTGGAGTTTCATTAAGATTGTTATCTCTCTCTTCGTATCTCGGAGGACTTCTCCTTATTTAAGGACACCAGGCCTAAAGAGAGAGTGAAGGCAGCACAAGGCACTCATCTGCAAGAGCAGCATGTTTTACTGTCAGTGCATGCCTCTGGTTGCTCAAAACAGTCACGTCCTCTGTTAGCATATGGCTCCCAGATTAGAAGAAAGTTGGTTGCCACAACTCATGATCTTCCTCACTTACTCATTTGCCATATATTGAGCAAATACAAAACTGTATCCTGCATATATTATACATAAAACTAATTTAAATAAACTATTCTTTCATCCTCTGACACCTTCTTCAAGATTCTCTTGAGAAAGGCTCTAAGGGCAAGATTCACCTCATTCACTTTGTCACTCCCAAAGGAGGACATCATACCAGGGAGCAATGTAATTCCTGGAAAGAAGGTTCCTTGCTCTGGGAACTTCTGGCAAGGGAAAGTTTAACACTATCTTGAACAAAAACTGGCCTAGCATGTAAGCTGACATGAAGTGAGGTAATACCCTAGAAACAAATGAAAGGATGGCATTGTACCACCTGAGGAGTGGCTCCAGAAACTTTGCAATCTAAGAAACTGCTCTTGGAAGAGATGTGTATAAACAAGCCCACCTAATCGCATTTTGTTGAAGAGCAACTCATGGTTAAAAATAAGTGTGTTTTTCCTGCACAAGTCCAAAGAGGATATAACCAGAAATAATGCTCTTATCTTAGCAACAGTGTATGAAGTTAGAGGACAAGACAAGGACACTGCCAGTAGGAGGGCAGATAGAACTGCTTTACCTCAAGTGGCTGTTGCATATCAGGCAGGTCACAAAGTCAACATGCAAAGTATAATGCAACATGAGTGTATGCTAGTCAGCAATCCCTCAGGATGGGTCTGAGATCTATTTCCAGTGGCAAATTATGACAGATGCCATTTGTCTAGTGAGTATTCCCACAAAGAGCAACTGTCTTGCTGCTACTTTTGTGACTGCTCAAGTGGACAAACCATTTGATAAAGCATTTGAGGTGAATTGCCTCAGCA